TAAATAAAAAAGCTAAATCAAACATTTGATTTTTTTTGTATTAATTTTTATAGGTTGGTTTTAAGTTTGTATTTAATTTCTTATAGAAAGGAAAAGGAAAGAAATTTAAGTTTATGCTAATTCCTCAACTAGGTGGCTAAACAAAAGTGACTCAAAAGCGAGGGAAGGGGTCGAAGTGGAGGAAACTGGCCTGGTTGGTTTTTTGGTGAGAGTATTTAACAAGGCGGAGCAAAACAAAAGGAAGACGACAACTCAGACGAAGCGGACGACGACGTCGGCGTCGACGGCGTCGCAAAAATTGCAGCTTGCAACATTAACATGTTTTATGCGAGCTCGGCTCTTGAGGCAAGGAAGAGCGAAGCGGAGCTGATTGTGGATGGTAGCCGTTAATGATGTTGATCTTTATAATGATGATGATGATGACGATGATGATGATGATGATGAGGCCGCTTCCTTTAAGCAAAAGCTTGGCAAACGATCTCATCTGCGTATGAAAGCAGATTTCGCGCGCGTTTCGCGCTTTGTTTGCTGTTGTTTTATGAAGGAAGTGATCCTTTAAGCGACAGAGAGATACATAGAGAGAGAGAGAGAGAGAGAGAGAGAGAGAGAGAGAAACAAGCTGAAACACAGCTCCGTCAGCCAGTCAGCCAGTCAGGAAGGAAGTTGCTCCTGTCTCAGACATAGCGTCTTCAATTTCAATGCATCGGACAAACGGCTACCACACTGAATCACATGAAGTCAAAGGATGCAAATTGTTTCCAAAATGTTATTGACCTCTGCCAAAACGACCAAGATGACGAGAGAGAAGAGCAAGACCAAGACCAAGATGCCCCTGCGTAGACAGACATTCAGATATTTTGCTGCTGCATTCAGTGTGCATAGTCTCATATTTGAGATTCCTGAGCCATGGCAAATGCCAACGCGGCGACATTTTCCATGTGTTGACAATAATTTTGCTTCTCTTAATATTTGATTTTTTCCGCCCGTCCTCTTGTTGTTTTTTGTCTCTTGGGCTAACCGTTGGGCAGGCACGCCTACACATGCCGTTGGCCATGCCCATACCCATGCCGATGCCCATTCCTATTCCTATTCCTGTGCATAATCTATGCCTCTCAAATTTAACTATTTAATTGCTTCATTTCGGCACGACATGGCACACATGTTCAATACAACGAACTGAGCGGAACGATCCTTTATTGATACTTTTTTCTCTCTTTTTTCCAATATTTATTACGAACAAATGACAGCCAAAAGTGCCTGTCCAAGTATCCACTTACACAGCTCCTACACATCTCCCCCCTCTCCGTCTCTGTTTCTTGCTCTGCTTTTGGAAAATCACACACACACTTGAAATTCACCCAGTCACAGATCATTTCTTCTTTGTGTGTGCCTCTGGATGTATGTGTATGTGAATGTGCCCATGCTTGGGGTCAATATTTAACAAAATCTTCCAAAGCAAATTGGCGCTTATGCTTCACAGATTTTATAGAACGCCAATAAAAAATCGATATATTCAAAAGCCCGTAATTGTTAGATACGTGGAATCTGATTGAATCTCATTTCAGGTAAGCATTCATAAATGGCACATTTGTTGCGTATTCCTCTATTTGCCTGTACAAAAGTAAAAAATGTCAACAAATTGGTTGGAGTATAATAAATAATTAATAATAATGTAGTCATCAACATATTGACACGATACTGTATTCTTTACAAGGCTTAAACTCCACTATACGTCATAACAATAAATCATAGTGTTAACTTCAAGCTCAAAATTATAAAAATAAATAAATTAATTAATAAATGATTAATGTTAGCATACACTAAATATTTTGAATTATTACTGTCTATTTAGTATTATTACTGTCTTGAACTTTAAAAAGTCTCGTCTCTGGTCAGTTATTAGCAAACAAATAAATCTTGGGAAAAATATAAGTCTGGTTAACTCTAGTAGTACTGCAGATTACTCAAACTATATATATATATATACATATCTCCATATGTCTTCTGTTAATATACAGATTCTAAGTAATCATAGGAAATTAAGTACAAAATGTAAAATTGGACTTATGTCAAGGGTCTGAAGATATAAGATCGTTGACATTAATGTAACCCTTATAATAATATAATAATACTCACTTTCCCTCCTGTCTTTCTCGCTCTTTTCATTTAGCTGAAATTGTTTTGATTTACATGTAAACGATATAAAATTGATCAGTATACAAGCATACATACATATTTAATTACAAGCGACCAAATTTTCCATGGGCAACGTGTGAACGGGAAAACCCACAAAGGTAAAGAATCCAAAACAAATACATGTCTCAGAATAACAATAACTAGCGAGAGATGGAGAGAGCGAATGCGAGAGGGACAGAGAATGTGGAAAACTGTCCACACATCAAAAACAACCATATACACACATGCATAATACATACATGTACATACATATACACACATATATACACCTCTATATATGTATGTATTAGATTATGAAACAGATTTTCGGTTCGGTTTCAGTTTCAGTTTCGATTTCGGTTCGAATTCGATTTTTGTTTTTTTCCGCTGTCTGACAAAAGATAAGGTTAATCGACTGCATGGGCTCCATTTCCATATTAACATAATCAATGAAGTATAGAAATGTTGCCTAGTGTGCGTGCGTGTGTGCGCCTAAGAAGGCCCTCGCATCGGCTACTATCTTTCATTAAGAGAGCCGGGGCAACACTCTAAAATGGGCATACTTAATTCTTGAATGCACTTACCGAACATTTTCAATCAGCAGCCAAGCAACAGTTAGGCAATTGAGTGACCCCCTACCGATGAGAGCGGTTCCGTTTCGTTTCTCTAAGCAGCAGTTAAGCCTTCGTACACACGCACACACACACACACACACACAGGCAGACACAGACGAGCGATCACGAAATGATATTTGAGTAAAATGTGTTGCGATTGCAGCCAAGTGAAGTGACAAATCGAACGCAGAGCGGCACTCTGGTTGCCTGACTTGGTGCACGTGAAGCGTTTGTCAAATATTCGAGTATCTACGGCTCTAAAGGATAACGCAACAGGAGTTCGTTCAGCGCATATCAATTGCTGTGCAAAGGAAACGTTTAGCCTTAAGCACTAAAAAACCAAAAACCGAAATACACAAAAGTCAGGCATATTATTCTTATCTGCTGGCACATAAAGTGCCAAAAATTATGGCAAGAGGAAATTGGAGCCGCCGACGCGACGTCAACGGCGCTGTCAGCGTCAATGTCAGTGTGCGAGACGAGATGAAGAGAAAGAGGAAGAGACGGCGGCGAGAAGGCGAACAGAGACGAGCTGGGAAGACGAGACTAGCCAGAGTCTACGCTCCCTGCATACAAGCACTACTACAGCACATCAGCGGATGAGGCACTTTAACATGTGCTTCATTAGCTGGACTATCATCAGACATGCAGAGCGCATCTGCAGAGAGCCTCGATGTGCCTTCCTATTTGAGTTTATTACTGCCGTCATGCGCCAATATGTTACATCTTGATTCATAAATGTGGAGCAGAACCTGAAACATTTGCATTTGCATTCTAGATCCACCCCGCCCTAGCAATGGCAACTGCTTCATTCTGCAGCTCGAGAGTATGCTGCGCATTTCAATAATATTGCTGCGCCAAAGCGTAGGCAACACTTTTAATAGATGGCAGTTCCATCAGCAGAAACATATGAAGACAAATATGAGACAAATATCATATCATAATAAAAATACTTAAGTAAATATTAGCACTATTATTGAGTCTAGAGCTGATGACTAATCAGCTCTAATTTGCGGTTATATGTATAAGCGGCAAAATTGCAATTCGAATTTGAAACTGAATTTAAGAAAGTTGGCAGCTCTGGCAGGCGAAATCAGCTGTTCCGCCTTGCACAAGGCACATTAGTTAAATTAAAATACAGTTTGTTCCATTTTGTGCGCTCGAAAACAGTGCAATGCGTATGCTCTTGTTCAAAACAGTTGACAGGTTTGACGAATTTCATGGAACGCAAGCAGCATGTGGAACCGACGCGCGACAACATCTTGGACCAGTTCAGAAAGGTACTCGAATTGCCAATTGCTCTTTGTGTTATCACATCGTTTTTGTTTTTTATTTTGCTGTTGCAGCGCGAATTGTACGTGCCGAATGCCGAGAGCTTGGCAATGGAACAGCTGCTACATATCTACAACTCTTTCATCATGCCGCATCCGCGTCGGGAGCGACGTGAGCGACGGCGCACGCAAACTGAGTCGCAGCCAAAGCGCGCCAATCAAAGCGCGCCTGAGGAATTTGAACACCTGACGAAGCGCTCTAATATGGTCAGCGTGGCCAGTGAGAAACGTCCCATCGAACTAGCCACAGAATCTCCAGGGCATCTGCTCAACTGCCCACGAAAGCGCATCAAAATTGAGCTGAAACAGTGACCTCTCCTCTCCTCCACTCTTGCTTATGATTCAGTTGACGACTTATCAGTTCTGCTGTTCAGATATGTACATACATATGCCTGTAATTCTGACCATGATGCAAGTGGGAGATACGAAACCAAAGTTGTGCCTTAGAGCTTGAGATGTGAAGTTTATTGACTTACTGGATACAGGTCTGCTTAGATACATATGTACATATGTATGTATGTACATATGGATGCGAGTGAAATTGATGTAAGCAATATGCCTTCTTAACGTAGTTTAAAGATAGCAATTTATTCTGGCTTTACCAAGCACCCCCAAGTACAAACGGAATTAAATAAATTTTGCTAATGTTACTCCTTCTCAAGTTAGTTTATTGTATTGTATTCCAAAAATATAGTCTTCTTCTATAGTCCACAAATACGAATAGCTTAAAATAACTACGAAAATGGCTTATAGAGACATGCTGCCTCTTTATTTTTCGCAGCTGTACACACGTTTACATGCATATACATATGTATGTATGCATATATGTACGTGTATATTAGCTTAGTTAACTGCGCTCATGGCAGTTGCAGCATGGAGCCAGTGTGTGCCAAAATGAAACGGATGGCATGACGCGCATTGCGCACACACAGCAATGAGCGGGACAGAGCGAGGCTGCTGTCACATTCGCACAGTTTATGCATGTGTATATGAATGCATTTATAAAAGTAATTTTTATTTTTTCGGCAGGAAAAGATTTTGTTTTCGAGAGTTTTACAAATGGCTGTTTAAGCTTACCTTATTGAATAGAGAGAAATTTTCACTTAATATTTAT